AGCCTGGTTGTCTCTGATGTAAGTAGTGACATACTGAAAACCTTGTGGTCTTGTGATAATGACAACACTGGCTTTTAGGCACACTGGTTTTCCTTTTGTTCTTATTTTAGCATGCATTTTTTTATGTCATGACTGTGCATATTCCTTTTTAGAGTAGGTGTGGAGCAGCTCTGAGTGTCTTAATGTGCTGAGATAAAGAAACATGTTCCAGAAATGATATTTTGATTTGTGGTTCTTCACTTTTTAAGAATGAAAATGAGTTCATCGGTGCCTGCAAATTCCTTGATTTTATTTAGACTTGTAGAGTTAGTGATAACATAAATGTTGGTTAGATGAGGCTTTACATTTTCTTAATACAGTCATGTTGCTCTATCAATCCAAATACTGTGTGGGACATACTGACTAGATTTATAATTTTTGATCTATCTTTAGACTTTCACAGATTACAGTATGAGATTAATGACATGGAGTAAAAAGGGTACAGTCTGTTTTACCTCACTTTATATCTTTTCATGTTTCTTCTGGGAAATATCCCTATTGTCTCAAGTGTCATCCTATATGCCTTCCAGTTTTGGAAACTCCATTCTCTTTGTTTTGTTGTGCATTAAGAGTTCCAAAAGCATGGCTCAGATTTCTAAGTCTTGCAAGACAAATATTGAGTTCAGATTTTTCTAAGTAAAAACCCCTTAAAATGTATTTATTTGTATGTTTAAATAAACACATACTTTGTTAATCATCTGGGATTTTGCTTTTTATTTGCAAAATTTGTGCAATTGAACCTTCATATAAAATGACAAAATATGTGACTGTTTTTAAAATTATTAGTTTTTTATAAATCTATAAAACTTTTTGTTATAAACTTTATTAACAAAAGCAGTAGTTAACAGATATAAAAATAAGCAAGTTACATAACCATGGCAGGCTCCTGCAGTCTTTAGCTTTTCCCCGCAAATGACATACACAACATTCTTGGCTGGAGCTTTATTCAAAACACATTTCAAAGACACAACTGTAAAACATTAGATCCTTCCAAAGAGCAAATTGACTAATGGGAAGAAACAAGACAGACCTGCTATGCAAGGCAAAAGAAGTCTCCACCTAACCCAAATTCCAGCTTCCAAGGAAGCTACCAGCTATATAAGTCAGGAAGAGACAATTCTTCTCTTAAATTTACTTACTAATTTGGGATAACCACTAATAACTTTATAGTCTGTAATCTCCCTGTTGATATCCTTCTTTTATTTATTGCGTTCATGTCTCTGGTGAGTGTTCTCCCAAGATAGGACATCAGAGAAGATTATAGTCAACCTACAATTTGATTCCTGAATAAAGATATGGTTGTTTTCTAGACTAAAGATCATGTTCACACCCAAGAATATTGGTAAACTGATGTTCTAGCATGAGTCAGATCACCAGTTTCTTATGTTTCAGTGTCTTCATGTTTACTTTAGGTCTGAGGTTAAATATTGGTGGACATATATTCACTCAGAGTTGAAACAGCCTGTATAATACTTTGTAATTTGTACTTTTTTTCTGCCTTGTAATCCTGAGTGATAACTTTTGGTGTAGCTTGTTACCTTTTAAAACTTATTTGAGAGAGGTAATGAAAACAATATTGGGGGAAGGGAGAAGAACTCACAGATCAATTAGTTGGACAGAATGCTGTATCTTCTCTACTTCTCTCAAATATTTCAGACCTTTCATTTGAACTTAATTAGTTTTCTGTATTTTTAATTACAGTGTGGTCTTCCTAGCGTTTATAAACATTATCTAGACAGATCAATTTTGGGTAAGAAGATTTTCAAGGGAGGTCTGGGTATTAGAGTGAGATCGGTTTCTTGGTCAATAATAATCATCCTTTTGAGTATTGAACTTCTGCCACAGGAAGACAATTAAGGGAATATGGTGCTACCATCTTTGTACTTATACTCATTTACATCTGCATGACCACTAAGAGCAGAAGTTGGGATGCACTGAACCCAATTCAGATGGACTTCTAACCATGTAACTGCATTTGATATATTTAAGTGCATGGTGAAATTTTGGTCAAATGTAGTTGGGTATTTTTTCCCCTCCTATAAGGCACTATGAGCCATTTCTGTTATTACAAAACTTCTGGGTTTAAAATTAAGCAGAAAAATTATGAAATATTGAAGAAAATCTATTTATTTGATAAATGCTGTAGAATCATTGGCGTGTTCTGTATAATCACAGAACAGTCTATCCTTTGCCTGCTCAGCTATACTATTTCTTTTGACATGTTAGTCAGTCACTTAACACTGATATACACAGTGATGCAAATTTTCAACAGATCACAAGAATAAAAGCTACCTTATGATTCCTGTGTTATTCTAATGATTGTGTCTACTCACATGGAGACAATTAATAACAGTAGGCCATGTGGAACACCATGCTGGGAAGATGCGTTAATGGAAAATTTCATAAGCCTTAAGTTTTTTGTTTGTTTATTTTTGGGGTGGGATTGAAGAAGACAGGAAATAAGGGGGTATTGTAAAGACAAAAGGGTTTTCATAAAATCAAATGCTTTAAATATCTTTGAATCCTATCAGACAAAGGTGTAGGACTTATGCTTGTATAGGAATGACTATTAAATTAAAATAAATAGCTTTTGGGTTTGTTTCTGTCAGATGAAAATGTTAAGTGTTATCTTTTGAGATGTTTTGGTTGTGGTGGTGATATTGTGTAAATTAAATACTTCTCAGATATATATTGGAATATCTTCTCAAATTTAATACTGTCTAAATGTGAGGAGCTGGCTTTAGACTATCTCAGTCTGTGTGATTTAATTCCCGCAATCAAAATTTTTGGACTACAATTATAAATAATAAGCAAAATCTGGCCAGTCTCCTTATTTCCATTGTGTGCTGTTAGATGCTGAGATTAAGCAGGAAGATTAAAATCACCTTACATGCTCTAGGATCACACTGAGGCAGCACCATACTTTTGTTCACTTTTACAGAGACAAGTTCTATTTGTAAAAATAATGAGAGAATGAGAATAAAGTCAGAATAGAAGGGAACAATGTGAGTAGTTTACTTCAGCTGTTATCAGTAATTTAACCAGTTATCCTAGATGCAGTTGCCACTGAGGAAGTTGACAGCTCGCAATAGCTCTTTCCTGATTGTAAATGACATTAGATCAGAAAGAACCTCCAATCTTCTGTGTTTCATTTGTCTTTCATTTTCTTACATACCTTGTTTCCTAACATTTTCTAAAACAGAGAAACAATCACTGATTTGGAGAAGTAGGAAAAAAGGAGCACCCATTTTAGAAATGCATTTGAAAATATTGCATCATATATGCTAAACTTGCTACTGAAGCAAATATAAATAAAGATGAATTTCTATCTTACTGACGTTGCCTCATTTAAGATGAAGAATAATTGGTATTCATAGATAAGATGAACATTTTCATCCACCTTGTAATGAGCAAATTAACAAGACACCTACTGAGTTGTCTTAAAAAAGACACTACACATAAAAAGAACTAATTACTATTCACTCTGGAATACAAATCTCTGTTCATGGTAAGCTGTGTTTCTGACTTAATGTAGATCACAATACAGAGCAGGTGTCTGGTTATCAAACACCATGCCCTTGATGGCTTTGACAGTAGCAGTCCTTCGGTGCAGAAGGAAAAGTAGTCTGAAAAGTCCCTGCATGTCTTTTTATGCTTGATGGTCAACATTTCAGTTTCTTTAAAGGTTCATTTATACCATACTCATCAACATAGCATCTGATCTTCCTCCAGTAGTGCATTAGGCAATATGACAAATATCTGTCACATTTTAGTTCCCTCTTCCTCTCCCCAGGGGAGAAAGGCTAAATGAATATAGATGCACAGGGATAAATTCAGACCTGCTGTAAGTAATTGCGATTCCATTGATGTCAGTAAAGTTGCGCCCTACTACTTTTGATTTGAAACTGGAACAGAGAACCACATTGTTCTTTGTAAAATAAAAATAAACAGTATGTGAAGATGTTTCCAAACATTTCAATAATATTATCTAGGACAGATTCTTCCCCCAGTTAAAGCTATACTAATCCATTTGAGTTAATGACATTGCACAACTGTAAATGGAATCAGCCCTTATACATATATACAGCTTACAAATGTCTGAGATTATTAGATACACGTTTCGAGATGTACACAGATCAACATGAAAAACTGCAAGTTTAGCCTTCTATCTTTCAACAAATAGGTCAGTGGGCTGAAACACCTTTGGGTAAATAGTCCTTTGCAGTTTTTGTGTACTGTCTGAATTGTCAATTGAAAATAGAAAATATTTTTTAACATCGTTTTGCAGGTCAACATCTTAGGATTTACTGTGGCCTTATGAAACACATGTGGACCACTGAATACCATTTAAGGATTACCAAGATAGGATATAACTTTGATTCAGTTTACATCTGGATGTGTTAGAGCCTCTTTCAGAATGAATGATCTACAAGAAGTTCATATAGCATGAAATTGCCTAAAATACAGGTGCTTCTTTGTAATTTGTCCAAGGAAGTGACAGATTGAAAATCTTAAATTAACAATAATTCTTTGAAGTTAAGATGTTATGGAAGTAAATTAGCATAAGTTGCTGTAAAATAAGACTGTGGGATTTCACTGGTGCATGACTGGAAGCTTCCAGAAAATGATGGGTATGATGGCTTACTTTGCTAAGAGGAAGAAAAGCAATGTTGTTTTTCATCACTCTTGTGTGAGTTTTCAACTGAACTGACTAATGTACTACATTAGATGTATTTTATAAGTAAAAAAGATTTTTACTTCATGTGTGGTGTAGTCAGTCAAATAGAACTTTAAGATTTAAAAGTATCCATCTTTTATGAGCAGACATTGATGAGAAGTCATATATATAATTGTTTTTATCTCTACTTTTTTTAAAAAAATGCATAAATGCTGATTTTGATCAGTTCTCTAGGAAAAAAGATCAGGAAGTTTCTTTACTCTGTTTCTCTTCTTCCTCCTAGACTCATACACTATTCCTTCATCAAACCACATTCTGCTTTTTTATCATGACCAGTTGCAGCTGGCAGACCTGAATACTTACTGCTGGTCTTGCAGCCAGACAGAGCTGCCAGTACATGAAGCATCTCTCTGCCATGGAACTTCCTGTCTTGAACAGTCCTTCAGTCCAGCAGAGGATGAAGCTTCCCAGCACTTCTGCATCTTCAGGAGTTCTTGGTAAGATCCTGGTTGCTGATGAGAGCTCTGTTTGTGTTTGGGCCAAAACATACTTGAAAACTGCTATTAGCACTCTGCATTATGGAGTCAAGATCTTTTGACCAGAACTTCCCAGCTCTTAAATGTAAACGTGTGTTGTTGTTATGTTATGGCAAGGCCCAACTGTATTATGCTCTTTCTATTGTCTCTCCAGGGTTCAGAAACTCAGGAACATGGTCTGGAAAGAGGTTCTCCCACATGCTGTGAATGATATGGATTTATTGTGGGTAGTTCTAGCCCCAACCTACACATTTAATTCAATTTTCACTGTAGTAAGTGAAAATTTCTAGAATTTTGAAGGTTTTTGGTTTATGAATGGCATTAATTTAGCTAGATGCAACATAGAAAAGTAGTATATTTGTAACACTTTTGACACAAAAATTCATAAGCTCAAAGCTCCATTCCTGAGGATGACTTCCCATGGAGATTCAAAAGTTTTCTATGAAGGCCATTTGCAAGAGAAGGAAGAACTTTTTTCAGAGGAATACTACATGGAGTAATTATAAAAGTTTTTATGTTGGAGAAGAACAAGACTGTTATAAATAGAATTGCTGCCTTTTACATCTTGACTCTGGGTGACTTGCAAGTTACAAGTTCCTGAATCAAAGGTCTTGAGGTTATCTTTTCATGACTAATGATACCATGCTTTCTAGAGACAGAAATTTGTCACACTCTTCCCTCACTTGTAGATTTAGCTGTCTGAAGATACTTTTTTTGCCTAATATGTTTTTAGTTACCTACCATGGAGGAATTCTTTGAATCCTATGTTGACCTATTATTGATCATAAGGGGTGGTCCTTTCTCCAGATTCTGGCTCTAGTCCTCTTAGCTGGGAGCAAGGCTTAATAAAACTGAAACAATAAATATCTTATATCTACATAACACTTGAATCCAAAAACAGTTTAAAAAGCAAGGATGAATTCATTTACCACTGAAATGCCAGCCACCTCTGGGGTGGAAACACATGGTTCTTATTTTCACAGAGCTAAGCAGCTGTTTAACAGTACAAAACAACAGTACATTATAGTTTAAGTCATGAAATGAAGAATAATCCTGTATCCAATTGAAATGTAAGATTAAACTTAGATGGGGGGAAAATAATTACCCAAATTGGTAAAATGATCAGAACACAAAGACTAACCCCGCTATTCTGGCACAGTGGGCCACCAAAACACTAAAGACTGAATGTGGTAAGGAACATAATTTTTCACTACATCTAGAAGCTGTTATCTTCAGTTAGATTGAGTTTTTTTCAGCAATGTAATTTCTTGTTAAAAAATGTCGGTCCGTCAATATCCAGCCTTTCTTTGGAAAGTACATGTCGTTTAGACAGGAAAGGTTTTTTGGAGTCCACTGTGGAATTTCTGATCAAAAATAGATTGAGCCAGAACCACTAGTAACCTGACTGTTATGAACATCTCCCAGGATGTGGGAGAATGAAATTCAAGTCCCTGTTTAGATTACTTCACAGTGTAGAGTTGGACCTGGGTTTCCTATGTCCCAGAGGAAAGTCCTAAATTACTGGACTCGCAGCTATTCCGATCATGATTTCTTCTTATTTTCCCATGGAAAAAATACAAAAAAATTGAAAGGTCTTGGGTTTGGCTCAGTGTAGAATGTGAATTTTGCAATTTCAAAAACTTTCCTGGAACAGGAAAGTTATTTTCCACCAAGTTTACCTCCCGCTGCAATGTATTCCTTTGCAATAAGATGAAAAGTTACTGAATTTGCTGCAGTATTATCTTCAAGGGAAGACAATCACTCTGTAGGGTTCATATGCAATATTTCTATACATTCATCTCTGTAACTTATATATCAGACTTGGTCGTCAGAAAATTTAATCTGGAAATTAGAAAGTTTCTAGCAATTGCAGCAATCTACTTTTAAAATATGCTTCCAATAAAAATAACATGAGCACACACTTACCTGCTTTTAAGGTGGAATTAATAATCCTGTGAAAGGACCTATTTACAATAGCTACTAGGTGGACACTACAGGATAGGTGGTCCTTTTTTTCCCCATTTTTTCATGGACTAATAATACGGCTTTGCCTGGCAGAGAGACCTCACATTCTCTGCTGGGTGGGTTAAGGAGTCAGAAGACATTTCTGTAGTTAAGGAGCTGCTATCATTTGCTCTTGCTTTTGGCAATCATTTCCAATAACTTTTATGTTCTGATAGATGCCACTCCTGATACTGATAAGATCCAATATTTTTTGTCTATCAGGCAACTGAAAAATAGATTTAAGACTGTTTACCCATTTCAAATACCTCCAGGTCAGATGGCAACAAAATTCTACCACTAATGAACAATGTTGGATTTGTTTCAGCAATGATTCTTCCATTCTGTTATCAATGAACTGAGCCTTCAGATCTAATAAGGTCTATTGATTCATGTAGATTTGTAATATTTATTAATCTGTCAAATTCTTCAGATTTCTATCATATTAATGAAAGAGGCAGTACACAATTCTGAAGAAATATCTATTACTTTCAGCAATATAGTTACTGCCTAGTATATGATCACTGAAGGTGTAAAGCCCAGAAACTGTGAAGTCAGTAGACACATTTCACTAAGATTTGGATGAGCTCAAAATATTTGTGCAACCCCATTGGCAAGGAAGCCTAGCATTGAAGAAACTTGAGTCTAAAGATTCCTCAAGTCTCTTGTTCTCTTAAGGCCAACTTTTATGAAAGTCAATGGGAGGCTAGTTTCCAACAAAATTAATGACTGCATATTAATGGTTATTCAGAAAATTTAATTGTTTGGTCTTTGAGGAAGACACTAACCCTTTCTATTGTATTTGGACCACAGGAAGAACACCAATGTTATTCAACAAGGTAGGAATAATGGTCTGGGGGGAAAAAGAAAGACAGCATCCAGTAACAAGAAAAAAAAGCGCACAATGATTAGTCAAAGAACAACAAAAAGGGAATAATAACACACAGAGCTCCTCAACATAAATCTTATTTCTAGTTTGATGGGCTAGATACAGAGGCCTTTATAGTTAAATCAAATTAAATTACAGTTGTTTGTATATACTCACACATATATCTAAATGTAATATGTCTAAAAAGTCTATACCAACATAAAAATATATTAGATGTTCTTGTTAAGAATAAACAAACATTGCCTTGTTTGGCAGAATTTTCAAATGCATATTGCTTCCTTTATTTATTTTTTTATTACAATAAAAATGTGTTTTGTATTAAATCTATTGTTATAAAGAAATTAAGCCCTGAAATCTGCCAGCATGGCTTTTTTCCATGAAGTGGAAAAAAAATCCCTCCTGTTTTAGATACTTGAAAACATTAGAAATCTGAAAATGAAAAGACCAGCCTCTGCGTAGCAAATTACTCCATAAAAATAAAAAGAATTCTTCTGTGTGAACTTAAATGGTTTGAAAGCAGAACATAGCAGAAGAGAATAGCGTGCATGGCCATAAAGGAAAACAGAGGGTTTAAGTCAATCTTTACAGATGTATCGGAGCCATTCAGGAAGAAAAATAATAAAAAATAAGTAAATCAGAGGCTATTTCACAGCGATTTGGGTCTGATTCCTTCTCTACTGGAGCAAAAATTTTTTCTTGAGCTTGTGCTTGTAAAGAAAATTGCAAGAAAATACTTACAAAAAGTCTTTTCCTTGATCTGCTCCTTAGCTTTGAACAATGGAGACAAAATTTTATGGCCTTACATCTGTATTAAGGGCTATGACTTGCAAGGCCTAAGTTTCCAAACTTTACCACTCAGAGTGCTTACTTTCTCCTTTCATCTTCTTCTATGGTTTAACCTACTCTCCACGCTACACCTTATTATTCCCCTGTGTCCATCTACATTTTGTTATTATCATTAATTCTGTTTACTGGGTTATATATAACTCAGTGATATCAAGTTGTACTTAGATTCTACTCTGCAAAGTATTTTAAAAATACTTAATAAAAGACAATCCTTGCTCCAGCAAGCAAAACGCTGAAAGAGGTGGAAGATTTAGGGGAAAATTACAATCCTGCAAGTTTCCCTGTCCAAGATTCTAGGGTCGGTCAGTGGCAAAATCAGAGATAGTGTCTTATCTCTGAGGTCCTTATAACTCCCTGATCTGTCTCTCATTGCCTGATTTCTCCTTTCACCCTCAGGAATTACCTCAGAGGCTACTGTAGCAGCCTCATGAACACTCAGCAGGAGAACAGCCATGTATAAAGATCCAGGTCACTTGTCAAAGAAGAAATGGTCTAAGTGTTCAGAGGAAAAAGAGATTTTGAGCAAATGCCAAATGAACATATATCTTGCTAGATGTTTCAGGTTTTCTTTTTTCTTTTGGAGAGATAATCAGTGACTTGGCTGATAATAGAAGGGGACAAGCTCATCATCTTTTATCCAGACTTTAGAAAAACATTTAACAAAATGCTTCTGAGGGAGCTGGTGAGTAAGGCCATCAGTGATGGCATTAGTATCAGGTAGGTGAAAAGGCTTAATAATGAGCTGTGTGGCATAGTGTAAATCTATGTGAAGGAGAGGTGACAGAAAGCAAAAAATTAAGGACCTTTATGACTTGGTATTGGGACCAGTTCTGTTCAAGATTTATGTATAGAGTTAAATACTTGTGTGCTTTTCCTGTCTGTGAGATGAATCACGGTAGTGTCCTGCTTAATCATGATGAAGCTTGCTCAAGTTTAAGTGAAACTGCCAACCTTCCAATGGATATTAGGAAAAAAAAATTAAAACCAAAAACCAATAAGGGCACTGACGTTATTTAAGGTAGAATTCTTGAAAAATTTAGATTACTGGTCCCTTGTTTCATTTACATTCATCTTCCTGTGGCTTCACTTTAGCCCCAGACACAGTTTTGACACTATTGTTGCTGACTGTGACAGACCTGGGCTGTCATACAGCCCTTTCATGTGTTTTCTGGTGTTTTGAAATGGCTGAAGGTACTGCTCAGTGGAGGGGTTATATATCTGTTTG